CAAAATCGCGAAAAAAGAACTTTGGAATTTGGGTGAACTTGATATTATTTACTCTATGTTTCTTTTCTTACTTCTATTTAACAATTTTAGGCGCAATTATTGTAAAAAAATAAAAACTTAAAAAAGAGAAGAAAGATAGAAGTGAAAATTATTACGAAAATTAATAATTTACAAAAATAATTTTCAGGAAAAAGAAATTGAATGAAAAAAAAGATCTCTACTATAAATTCTATTCTATAACTAACGCTACCCTAAAATTTGCTTATGTGGCAAATGTGGCACGTGATAATGAAAAAAATTTACGATTTCTCATAAAAGGAAATTCGCAAAAAAATCTTTCTCTCTCTCTCTCTCTCTCTCTCTTTTTCTCTCTTTCTCTTATCGTTTAATTGAAAAAAAATTCATTTTGAGTGGGTGGCAGCTTTTTTTATTTAATTTGTAGAAACTTTGTTAAAAAAAATTCTAGTTATTAGTCGTTTGTTAAAAAAAAAGAAAACCAAAAAAAAAAAAAATGAAAACTAAGTGCAATATGTTTTTATTAAAATAAAAAAACAAAAAAAAACATAGAAGTTCTAATGTTCAGAAATTTTTTTTCTGTATGTAAATAGTTCTCACGATGTATGCAAAAAAATTCGCACGCGTTCAAGAAACTTGCACGTGCTGATTAGATTTTTTCGTGAAAAATATATTTAAACACAAAAACCCAAAAAAATAAAATTTAGTGAATTCTCAAAAAGAAACAAAAAAAAAAAAAAAGAACTCGAATAAAATTAAGGGAAAAGAAACATGAATTCAAATCTTCACGTCTCGAGTGCCGTCAAAACAAAGAAATTACTAATTTTAATGGGAAAAATTAAAAATTACTGATTTATACTTAAAATTAAAATTTACTGATTTTACTTAAAAATTAAAAAATATAATTTTTAATTTAAAAAATAAAAAAAAAATATAAATTGCAATAGAAATTTTAAAAATACAATTTTTGAATTTACAACCAGATTTATTATAAATTTTGAAATAAAATGATACAATTTTTTAATTTATCCAAAAATAAATAAAAGGTCCGAATAATAAATTGTATTAGAAAATGATTTTAACTAAAAAAGAGAAAAAAATGTTTGAATTTGAAAACATTGTTAAAATTAAGGACAGAAAAAATCATTTTATTTTAAATTTCTAATTAATTAATTAAAAACTTAATTATAATTTATGAACTTTCTTGTAATTAAATTATTATTAAATTTTAATTTAAAAGTAGGAAAAATTCAATTCAATTCAAAATTAAACATTTGAATTGAAAAATTAAATTAAATTAAATTATAATTATTTGAAAAATGTAAAATAAATTAAATTTTCATTAAATTGAAAATTAAGTAAAAAGGAAAATAAGAAAAAACAAGTTTTCGTTAAAAATAGTTTTTTGGTGGCATTCTCGAGTTGACGGATTTGAATCAACTGAACCATAAAAATGACTATTCAGAGACAACGACACAGCGCATTATAAAGTAATAATGATAACGATTCCTAATATTATTGATATATATATATATTATTACGATGAATATGATTAAAAAAAACAATGAATGGTGAAGCCGAAAAGCATTCGATTATTATAAATATTATAAATAAAACAGTATACTTTATAAATAAATAAATATATAAATATATAAATATATAAATAAATAGTGAGGTATGGATAAAAAGGTAGTATATCTATAAGCGAGATTTGAAGAATGACAAAGGGACAAGTAATTAGAATTTAGCTAAATGTGTGTCAGAAAAATGTTGAGAAATAAAAGCAAAAAAAAAAAAAAAAAACGCTAGCCTGGCAAGAAAGAGCGCATGTGTGTGTATGCGTGAAAAAAATTCTTGAAAGAAAAATGTCACGGCGGGAAAAAACAATTTTTTATTTAATTAAAAATTTTAAAGTAGTTGAAAAATTTTTTTTTTTCGACTTTATAATAATTTTCTGAAATTCGAGCGGACTAGTGCGATTTTTAGGATTTCTGTAATAATAATAATTATAATAAACGCCCCTTTAATTTTCAAAAGAAAAACCAATGAAGAAAACATAGAAGAAACTTTTATAGAAAACAATTCTTTTCTATCAAATAATTAATTAATTATTATTAATCTATAATAATAATTAATTTTACAATGTAAAATTTATAAATGAAAAAAAAGATGAAAATAAGGACAAGTGTTCCGCAAATATTTTTGTATTATAATTTTTACAAAATAATAAGTATTATAATGCAATTAGAATTACAAAACGGAAAGAAATGGCAACGAACAATTTTTCCTTTTTATTTAACCACTTATTGTGCAAATTTTACTTTCGTGAAATACTTTTTCCAACAAAATCTTCAAAAAAGGGGCTTTTTCCATTCTTTCTGCAATTTTTCGCTTACAAAGTCCGATTAAAAAAAAAATCTTTTTGCAAAAATCCAAATTTCATTTATTTCGGAAAATTTAATTTCAACTCACACTGATTAAGAGAATATTAGTGATTAAGGAGAAAAAGAAGATACATTAAGGCCTCTTTTTGAGTCCGAAAATCGCACGAAACTTGCTCAGAAATTAGAATAATAAAAAAAAAATAAATAAATAAATGTGTGTTAAAAAAAAGAAATTTTTGTGAAAAAGCACCTCCTTAGAAGCACTTCTCCCCCTTCAGTCACAAAACACACAGAGACATACACACACACTTCCCATGAAAATTTTTAAAATTAGTGGAAAAAATTCGAGAAAAAAAAATGAAATCCCTAATATTGTATAAAGTAGTGCGTGCATAGTAATTATATATTATAAGGGAAAAAAAATATGGTTCTGGTAAACGAACGAGTTTGTTGTTGAACATAATATATTATTATGTAAGAATAATGATGAAAATCGACGAAGATGATAACGATGATAATATTATATTGTTGTTAGATATATATTATATAAATATATATAAAATAGATATTAATATGAAAAAAAAGAATAATCTAGACACTAAGACACAAAAATATATACATACACACGTTAACACGCGAACACGCTTATATACAAAAAAAAATCACACAATTCGTAGAAGTGCCCTTTATAGAAGGGTACAAATGTCACCGCCCCTGGGCATGGTTTCGAGATTTTCTCAAACTTCAATTTTCAAAAAAAAAAAAAACTCCGAAATTTGAAAATTGTTTACAATTTTTTCTCTAAAATTGAGATTTTGTTAAAAAAAAAATTTACGAAAGTGTAAAAAAAGGTGGTGCTTTCTTTTCCAAACGGATTAGTCTTCACTTTAAAAAAAAAAAATATTAGAAAAACAATTTGTTTTCTTTTATTTAAAAAAAAAAGTTATTTCAAAGAAAAAAAATAAAAGAATGTAAAGTAGAAAATATTTACATATTTTAGCGAGCTTTCTTGAAGTGTTACGTTTTACGAAAATATACTTTAAACGAAGTTTTTTTGGCTCTCACAAAGTGTAAAGTAAACCGAAAGGGCAAATCCAATTTCGGGGGCGCGCCTCACCGTTATAGCTATATAGAATAATATTACGAATAATTATTAACAAGAAAAAAAAAGTGAATACTGAGGATAATGCGTTTATGTTATTTAGTTCTAACCACTGAAAAAAAAGTAATAAAAAAAAAATCAATCATGTTACCAATTTAGTCGTTTTTTATTGTCTTTATACCCTTCCTATAGTTAATCTTTACTTGAAAAATTTATATAAGTTTTTATTTTAAAAAATTTATTTTTATTTTAAAAATTTTATTTATTACTAATATATTTTTAATTATTATTATATTTTTTTATTAACTACTTTATTTCATTTTCATTTTATTTTATATAAAAAGAAAATCAATTATATTTTTAATAATTATTCAATTCCTTCATTCAGAATTTAATAAATTTTTTATTCAAAGAAAAAAAAAGTTCACCTTAAATTTTTTTTGTAATCCACTTCTTTACAATTATTCAATTTTGTGAAATTTTAATAATTTGGAAATTTTTCCATTAAATATATATATTCTTATAATTTTAGCTAATTTGAAAGAAAATTTGACTAATAATTTTTTAAAAAAACTCACTTCTTCAGAATTTTGAACTAAAATTTTTCTTTAATTCAATTATTTTTAATAATTTTTGAGATAGTTTGTTGAGAATTAAATTATTTATTTAAAGAAAAAAAAACTAAAATCCACATGTTTACAATTCACTTTCATAAAATTTGAATAATTTAAAAATTTAATGTTTTCAAGATTAGTGTATTTTATATGTAGAAAAAAAAAGTAATTTTTAGAAAGTTCATATCACTTTTCTTTTTATTAGTTAAAATCTCTATTAATTCAAATTTAATTCTTGTACTAAATTTTTCTGAAAATTTCTGAAAATAAAATTGAATTTTTTTGAGGAATTTCATTAAAATTATATTCAAAATATTTGAATTTATACCTGAAGAATTAAAATTCATTAGATTAAAAGTTTTTCATTCATTTTAAAAAATAATTTTATTTTTTTGAGAAACTCCATTAAAATTGTATTGAAAATAATTAAATTCCATGGAAAAATTGTTATCTTTATGAAATTTTTTAATTTAGTCATATAATAATTAAATTAAATTATACTTTTTTAAAATGTTTTTACTGTTCAAAAAAAAAAAATATTAAAAATAATAAAAATATTAATTTAACACTTTACGTTTAAAAATTTTATAAGAAATGAAAGAAATGAAATTTGTATATTTATTTACAAATTTGTTCACAATTCTTTTTTTTTTTAATTAAAAAACAATTTCTTAAAAAATCCGATTATTACCGAGTTTTCAAATAAAAATCATTTGTTCAGAAAATATTTTTCTGCGAATATTGCAATTCTAAAGAGGTCGTAACCTAGATTCCATTTAAAAAAATATTTTGCACAACGTTAACAAGAATCCAATTACACAATTGAGTTTCGATATTAAAAATATTGTTTAATTGAGTCAATTTTTTGTTTGAATCCTCAGATCAAAAAAGAACTCCGATCAATAAAGTGTGTGTTTCATCTTCTTTTTTTTGCAACAAAAAAAAACGAACTTGCAAAAAGAAAGATATTTTTTAATAAACTAATAAAAAGCAAACAAATAGAGAATGGATATTTTAAGAAGTTAAGGATAATTTTTTTAATTTCGAACAACGCAGTGTAAAACTACAATTTTTGTTTTAAAAATTGCAATTAAAAATTAAAAATGGGAATCGGAATAATTTTCATCGTCTCATTAATTTGCCATTCATTGGCAAAGGAAGTGATTTTAAATTTAAACGATAAACGACCAATTTTCACGACTAGTGAGAAATTTCTTAGTTTTACATTGGATCCAATGTCGATATTTTCTGATGATTTGAAATCGAATTTTTTAAGGTGAGTTTTCGGATATGATAAATTTACATAATAATAAAATTTTGCAATAAACAAATTTTATGTTGACATTCATAGCCAATATTAAGAAAGGCAATAAAAACTCTCATACCTCTTGCTCATGGTAATTTTGTGTGTGGAGGAATTACTTCTCGTTTACAACCGAAAATACCTCCCATTTTATATTTCCCAAACCTTCTCTTGACCACACTTTTCATTTTGACAATAAATTGTGCAAAAACCGCGCTTTTAAATTTTACAACTTTTGTCATTAAACATTTTAGACGTAAATAATAATATAAAATATAAATTTTCTCTATAACGATATATACGATAAAGATGACTTTCTCTAACGATAAACGTAAACAAAAAATATAGACGATATTATTTATTTGAAGAGAAATATTATTGAATTTTATTAAAAAATTTATATCTTTGTGAAAAATAGTTTTTATACAACTCGGTTGAATTTATAAAAAAAAATTTCATATTTTTACTGCAAACAATTTTTATTTTTATTTCTTTAACTCACTATTTTTTATTTATTAGTAATAATAACTAATTAAATAAAATTAAATTTAATTTTGTTTTCCCTCATTTCCAGAAAAAATTTTGACTTTTACCCTGACCCTGAAAAATATTCTGATTCACTCCAAAAATTATTAGATACTCTCAAAAATGTTCTATTACAAAATTTATTTATGAATTTTTTTAATTGTAAAATTATTTGATTTTATCAATAACTACTTTTTTAATTTGAACCCTTTTCAAAATTCAATTATTTCTAAAAATTCACGCTATAATGCTTTTAATATTCAATTATAATTTAACATTTTTTAAGTTAAATTAACATTTTAGTTAAATTCATTTTTTAATCAATTTTTATTAGAAAATTTTTCGAGAATAAAATTATCTAAATATAAAAAAAATAATTTATTAAATAATAGAATATTTCTTAAAATTGAATTTTTATGAAGAATTTTATCAAAAATTTTTTAATTTATAGAATTTTCTATCATTTTATTTACAATTGTATAAAAAATAATTGAAATTCTGCAATAAGTTATGTTGTTTATGAATAAAATTGAATTCTTACAACGAATTGTATTAAACATTTTTTTAAAGAATTGAATTCCTGTCAAGAATTCTCTTTGTGAAAATAATTGAATTCCGGAGAAAAATATTATTATTTATGAAAATAATTAATTTCTTGTGAAGAATTTTATTCAAATATTTTTAAATAATTGAATTTCTCAGAATTTTTAAAAAATTTTTGTAAATAATTAAATTCTATGGAGAAATTTCATTTAAAAGTTCAAAATAATAGGTAGAAACATGACGAAGAATTTTATTACATTTTTTTTAAATAATTGAATTCCTGTGAAAAATTTTATTTTTGAAAAGAATAGAATTCTTGGGATGAATTTTATTAAAATTTCTTAAATAATTGAATGGCTTCGAAGAATTTTATCTTTTACGAAAATAATTGAATTATTTCGACGATTTTTACAAACATTTTTGACAATAATTGTATTCCTAGGAAGAATGTTATATTTTACGAAAATAATTGTATTCTATGATCAATTTTATTATAATTTTTCAAATTTATAAAACATTTAATGAAAATTTTTTAAAATAATTGAATTCTCGAGAAAAATTTTATTATTTATGAAAATAATTGATTTCTTGTGAAGAATTTTATTCAAATTTTTTAAAATATTTGTATTCCCATAAAAAAAATGTATTATTTGTGAAAATAATTGAATTCTTAAGAAGAATTGTATTGAAAATGATTGAATTTTTTAGGAAAATTTTATTAAAATTTCAATTTTATTAACTAAATCTTGTAAAGAATTTGGTCAAAATTTTTTTAAGTAATAGAATTTTATTTAAATTTTTCGAAATAATTGAATTTCTTAGAACTATTTTTTTTAATTCTCTGAATATATTTTTATTCTTTTGAGATACTTCATTAAAAAATAAAAAATAATTGAATTGGTGCGAAGAAATTTATAAAAAATTGGTAAGTAATTGAATTCCTGTGAAATTTGTATTAAAATTTTGCTTAAATTAATTGAATTCTTTTGGAAAATTTTATTAAAATAGTTCTTCAAGAATTAAGTTATTTAAAAAGAAATTATTGTCAGAAATAGAAAAAATTGAAGGTTTTGTATTAAAATTCTTGGCAATTTTATAGTTTATGAGTCAAACAAAAAAGACATAAAAATTCAGAATTGTCTTATAAATTCTAAAAATTTAATTTTTTCCAGTATTTTTAATAAAAATCTCTGACTTTTCCCTGAATTCCCTGACCTGTAATTTTTTTTATATTAAATGTTTTTTTAACGATTTATAAAAAAATATTTTGAACTCTTTGTTGATTTTAGCTCAAATTTGGAAAAATGTATTAACATAGCAAAAGCATTTTCGCCTGCTTATGTTCGTTTCGCTGGACCAGAATGTAATTCTTTTCATTTTGAGAACAAAGAATTTCCTCAAGACAGTAAAAACATTACCAAACATAATTTTACTGGCAAGTTTTAATAAATTACTTAATTAAATCTAATAAATTAAACAATAAACAAAATTCAGTCTTTATACCAAAAGATTCTTAAAAATTTACTAAAAATTATTATTTTAATTTTAATTAAATTATCAACTAAATTAATATTGTTTAGAAAAATTTTTGAGAATATTATAATTATAATTATTAATCATAATTAATTATCTCTAGTGAAATTGTGACGTTAGTAATTTAATAAAAATGATTATTCTGTAAAACTTATCAAATCAATATTTACATTTGTAGAGAATATTCTCAATTTGATAAATCAATGGGCGAAAAAATCGGGTTTGAATTTAATCACCTGCATTGGACAAGAATTCATTGAAAATAGTGACGATTCATCACAACTGTGGAATGCAATTGCCTTCACCGATCAAATGGGTTACAATACAAGTTGGCAACTTGGATACGGTAAAAACACAAAACAAAAACATTTTCTAAAAAATTCTCCTACATTTTTCTTTGAAATAATTAATTTATCAAATTTCGATAAATTTTCAATCTCTTGAGAAAATTAAAGGAGAGAAAAAAAAGATTCTGAAGAAAATATTACACATCTTAAAAAATTAGAAATTTTTAAATTAGTTTAAAAATATTAGAAATATTTTAAAGTTAAAATTGAATCACAAATGAAGAAAATAAAAAATTAAGTAAATACAAGTAAATTCAATGAAAGAAAATAGAATAGAAATTAAAATTAAGAAATTATGTATTTAGAAAAATATTTCAAAGGTAAAAAAATGTTATTTTTTTTTAATATCAATATTTAGATATTTACTTTTATATTTACAAAATATACAATATTCTGTGTTTAAATTTTGTAATATTGGTCAATGGAAAATTTGTCTTTTGATTGATCCTATGTTATGCAATTCTAATGACAAAGCAAACTATAAAAATTAACGACCGTACACCTTAACAGAATTTCAATCGAGATGCAATTTTCGTGGGGAAAATTTAGGACAAGAGATTAAACATTTACGAAGGGTACTTAATGCATTTCCAAGATATTCAACGAGTCTCATTGTTGGACCGGATGTGACTGAATTTAAAACAGAGAATCAAGAAGAATTTTTACTCGATTATTTTCATTCAGCTGGGTCTGCACTTTCCTTAGTAACTTGGCACCCGTGAGTTAAAATAAGAAAATCTACTTTTTTATTAATCTTCATAAATTTCAATAAATGGAAATTTTAATAACTTTAGTTTAAATTTTTATAATTTAAATTTTGATAATTTATTAAATTTTAGATTTAATAATTCTGACTTTAACAAAATTAACATAATATTAATTATCCGATAAAAAATAATTAATAATGAATCGAATTAAGATGAAAAATGAAATTAGAGATTTTTTAAAAAATTATTTACAGGAATTTCAATGAAGTGTCTCTAAATAACAACGAAGTAGTAATTCGTGAAGAAAACTTATCAACAGAAAAGGAGAATTTAGAAAAAACATTCGGACAATCAATATTGGAAAAGCCTCTCTGGATAGGTAGTTATTTGTTTTTACTTTACATGGACACGTAATTATTAAAATTACTTACTAATTCTAAAATATGTAATTCTACACTGAAAGAAAAATTTCTTTGATTCAAATAACAGATTACTCAAATAAATATTTACTTGAATCAAATAATTTTTGTTTAAGTCTTATAAATTGTATCTATTTGCATCAATAATCTTAATATTTGAAGCAAATACAATCTAATTGACTTTTTTTTAATCAACTTTAAATAAAAAAAATTCCAGCCGAATCAAAAGATGAGAAATGCAAGAATCAATTTATCGGCGCGCTTGTCTGGACTAGAAGACTTGGAAATGCAGCGAAAGTTGGTGCACAAGTTTTGATGAGGCAGCCTGACAATTCAAATTTATTCAAACCCAGTCCGGTAATAATAAATTAATCGCAGTTTTAGACACACAACGTGCTCTAAATTCTATTCAACTAATAGTCAACTTAAATTCAAAATCAAATCCAAACATATAATTAACTTCATTATAAATTATCATACTAACAAATGGATTAAAACACTTCTAGTATTTTATTTCAAAAGTACAAAACAGTAAAAATTGAAAACTGAATTTTTAATTTAAATAATAATTTTTAAAAATTATCAAATGAGGAAAAAGGTAAAAATCATTTTAATTAACAATGTGTAATTTTTTAATTTAGGACTTTTGGGTTTCTCTGCTCCATAAAACTTTGGTTGGTCCGGAGGTATTTAATTTGAATATTCAATCGGGAAATGAGACTCGTATCAATTTCTTCTGTCAGTGTACAAAACGTTCTTCAAAATACAAAAGAGGATCGCTCACTATTTTTGGAATAAATTTTACACCTAATAAAATTGTGGCAAACTTGAAAGGACTCAAAATTAAAGAGACGGATGATTATATTCTTTTGCCAGGTTTCGACAGTTCGAACCAAATGTTTGCTGAGTAAGTTTATTATTTTCGATTTTTATCTAAAATTTCCTAAAAAATCAGTTTTCAACTAGTTTTAGTTTATAATTTTTATGTTTTCTCCTTTGAAACAGAACTGTTCTTTTGAACAACAAGCCCTTGGCATTGAAGAACGAAAACGAAATACCAGACATCGAGCCAATTAAGAGAAGAAATGAAAAAGGTGTCCCATTAATTCTCCCATCTGGAGGAATTGGTTTTTGGGTGATTCCAAATTTAAAGGTATATTTAATTTATTATCTGTTACTTGACAACTTGATTTTTTCTTAATCAAACTAATGAAGTATTTTTAAGTATTTATTTATTTAAAACAGTTATTTAAATACTTAATTTAAGTGAATTAAAACGAGTCTAAAAGTTTTTATTTCTTTGTAGCTGAAGGCATGCAGAAAAAACGTCAACAAGCAGAAGGTGAAAACATTGACTCGTCTTCTTCAAAGTGACGAAAAAAAAGATTTGGCTACTGAAGAACTAAATGATTTATCATCAGAACTAAAGAAATTTTTCCTGAAGGACAATAAGGGACAAACGGATTTTTCAATTTCCGAAGAGAAGCAAATTAATCAAGAAAAGGAAACAAAACGATTAAGAAGAAATGCTGAAAATATGAATAATCTCCTAAATCGAGAAATGTTCCTTCAAGCTGAAAATAATCAACAATATCGAACAATCAGAAGAGCAAAAAATTCGGCAATGAAACAAGAATTAGAAGTCGATCCCGAACGAGCTGTTATCATCGGTTCAGATGAAGATATTTCATCAGAGGAAGAAATTCCCATTGAAGATGGTTCCGGAGCACATGGAATAGTGCCAACACCAGAAACAACTCAATTTATAAAAGTCAAAAGAGAATTTAAAAATACAGAAAACAATCCTCGTGTATATTCAAAAACAACAGAAAGATCTCCAGTTGGACCAAGACCCGAATTCATCAATGAACCAAAATCGTCTACGGAAAAAATGATAACCACTCGTGACACAAAGAAATTTTCACCAAATGCAAAACAATTCCAAAATTTCTCTTCTACTTCGACACCTTCACGTAAACGAGTTCGAAATGTTTTCGCCACCATGGGACTAGAGCCAAAACTCAATATCAAAAACCAAAATCCAATACCAGCTCTAAAATTACCACAAATAATTCCTCCGCCGATGATCACAAATGCCGATCAACTAAAACAAAGAGTTGCCGAAGCTCGACTAAAATTACGCTCAATTTTTCAAGATCTGACAAATCCGTTAAAATTACTTCGACCATTTCCTGTTAAAAGAGAAATTTCTGGTCAGTCACCTTTGGAAAAATTTAAAATATTCCAAAAGTCTCAAGAAACTAGGAATGCTGAAATCATTCAAAACTTTGGGCAAGTTGTTGAAAATCTAAAAAAACTACAAGCATCAAGGACTCCCAAGAATATGGCAAACAATGCGAAACTCAAGGAATTTGTTGCCAGAGGCGAAGAGCAATTGAATAAACTAAGAAACAATTTACGCGCAAGACATGACGAATTCGTCGAGAATTACAAATCAAAATCAATGAATTTCTTCAAAAAACCAAACAATGAGAAGCAGTACGATTTCACAAGTGTTAAGGATTTCATGAACAGAATAAACACAGCGAAGATTTCGAATATTTTCTCCAATTTGCCCCAGAAACCAAAGAGGGAAATAATATTACCAAAATTGTTGAATCTAATAAAACTTGAAAGAATACAGAGAATACCCGGTAACGAAGCTGGAGAAATAGTTTCAAAATTACTAAATTTGGCAAAAGGAAATATCGATGACGAAGATTCATCTGAAGAGGAAGAGGAGGCATCAAATGAAGAAGTCGAATTTTTGCGAACTTTGTCAAAATTATTCTTGAATCATATAAAAAATTATCCTTTACTACTTCTTGGTAGTGATGATCCTTCGGAATTGTATCCAACCGTTAGGGAATCGGCAAATATTCTGGACGAAGAGGCAGACTACGACGAAGGGAACTGCAACGACGATGTTTCATCCGAAGAAGATGAAAATTGGCAATACAAGGACAATAAGAATAAATATAGACGATTTTCCAGATCAGCCTACAAACTCAATGAAATCAACAAAAGTCCAATAAACGAAGAAAAATATTCCCGTAAACGAAGAGACGCAGAAGAAGAAAGCAGTAGTACCACGAATTCAAAATCTTCAAAAAGTGAAAAAAGAAGAAAGTCCAAGAAAAAGAAGAACAAAGATAAATCTCCCGAATATGATTCATTTTACAATCCAGATTGTGCCGACTGTTCGAAGAATCAAAACTACTGGAATTATCCTACTACATTTTTTAATTATCCCCCACACGGAATTTCTCAGCATCCTGACGAATTACCAACTAATTACAATTTTCACTACGATCATCAAAATCCAATTTCGTACTATTCCACATTACCGTTATATCCACATCGTCGTCGTCGTCGACAACTCGACTCTAATATTATAAAAACAGACAAAACAAATGAAAAAATTACCATTCCGATAGAAAAAGTAGTTAACAAACAAACAAATGAAGAAAATGCAGATTTCGATTTTCTGACAAAAGTGGAAAACTGTTTGGAATCAACTGTAAATTGTCCCAATGATTTAACTACAGAAACAATGAATGAAAATAATAAGTTTGTTATGGAAAGAATAGATGATTTTACAACAGAAAAAATAATTGACAATAATTTTGCTACCGAAAATCCTCAAATTCATAGTGAGAAAAATGAAAACTTGTTATCTGTGGAAAATAATGCTGCTACAACTGATAGTGCAATCCAGAATAATTTAGAATCACTGATGAGTATTGAGAAAATTTATGATAAATCTTTACCATCAACGACGGAACATCGAATATATAGTCGTAAAATGTTGTCGGATAATGAAAAAAATGTTGATACCACACTTTTTCAAGATGTGACTAAAACAATTGAAAATATTTTTACCTATTTTTCTAATATCACAGAATCAGAATAACTTTAATGATTGTGGTATAAGTAATTTTTTTCCGTTCCCAAACCATTTTCCTAATTGAGTATTCCTAAAATATCTATTCCGGGAAATTAATTTTTAGGAAATTATAAAATTAGGAATCTAAAATTAGGAAAATCGGTAGGGAACCAATTTTTTCATCTATTGCAATATTGAAATTGGAAATAATTCCAATCGTACGAAACAATATTCCGGAAATATTTATTATTCGTTTATTGTTTATTGTAATAATTATGTTTTATTATAATAATTATTAATGTTATCTTTTTATTATTTATTATATTTATTATATTTATTATATTTATTATTATTATTATTATTATTATTATTATTATTATTATTATTATTATTATTATTATTATTATTATTATTATTATTATTATTATTATTATTATTATTATTTTAATTAACATTTGCATATTTTTCTTAAAAATATTTCAAAATAAAAAGAGGCTTATTCTCTTCAATATTCCTAAACAATATCTTTGTAACATTCACCAAAAATATTCTTGTAATTTTCCACAAGAATATTCCTGCGAAATCTCAAAAGAATAATTTTGTAATATTTCATAATAATTATTATTTCCATTTAAATATTTCTACAAGATCCACAATAATATTTTTCTTCATGAAAGATAAATAAATTGATTAAGAAAACGGCAATGACTTATTATTGTTATAACGATATATAACGACTTGCAAAACAATTTTTTTGTGAATTTATACTTAAAACAAATAAAAATGACGAAAAGTTATTCACTTATATAACATTCAGAAAATATAAAAGTAATTGTTATAAGTATTCACAAAAATAAGAGTAATAATTTTTTTTGGCGAAAAATATGTGGATGACGAACCCCTGTTGACATACAACCCGTAATACACTTGAGAAATAGGAAAGAATACTTACAGGGATTTTGTGACAATAAGAGAAAATTAAAACAAAATTTTCTATTGAAAATATGTGCAAAAAACCCACGAAAATTGACAGTGAGAAATAATAATAAATTTACGGTCTGACTATTATTGACTTGTACTACTGATGTTTTGAAATTTGGCGATTTCGTTCGTTTTTTTTCTTTTCCCCTCATTCTTTTAATTTTGATTACAATTTTTTTTATAAAATTGATACTTTTCTCTATTATTTACAATATTAACGGTAAATTAAAGTCTGACTATAATTTACTTGTACTACTGAAATTTGTAATTTTTACAATTTCGATTGATTTTTCATTATTTTTGTTCCTTTTGATACTGATTTTAATTTATATAAAATTGATACTTTATTTCTATTATTTATTTAATTGAAGTCTGACTATAATTGATTTGTACTACTGAAAATTTAAAATTTGATAATTTGGATTGGTACTTTTGCGTTCATTTCTTTCGTTTGTTATTAATTTTATTTTTTTATAAAAACAATACTTTTTTTGTTATTTCTAATGTTGACGATAAATTAAAGTCTGACTATAATTGACTTGAACTACTTAAATTTTCAAATCTAACGATTTCGATTGATTTTTTTTATCTTTTTCTTTCTTCTGATAATGATTTTAATTTATATAAAATTGATACTTTATTTCTATTATTTATAACGTTAACGGCAAATTAATGTCTGACTATAATTTACTTGTACTGCTGAAATTTGTAAATTTGACAATTTCGATTGACTTTTTTTGTTTTCTTTTTTTCTTTTGCTATTGATTTTAATTTTTATAAAATCAGAACATTTTTCTATGATTTATACTGTTAATGGAAATTAAAGTCTGAACTGTTATTCACTTGTACTAATGAAAATTTTTAATCTGTAAAAATCACATAATGCCCTAAATTTCTAATATTGTTAGAATGGGCTGGGATGAAGATTTCGGGATTTTTTTGGCAAAAAACAAAACTTAAAAAATTTTAGCCAATTTTTTTTGCAAAAATTTTTAGATCTTTTTCAAAGCACTATAACTTTTCACCTGTGCTAGATATCATGCTCTAATTAGAACCAAATGAAAGCTTGGAAGTTGCTCTACATTTCTGATATTGTTAAAATTGGCTGGGATGAAGATTTCGGGATTTTTTTGGCAAAAAACAAAACGTTAAAAATTTGACCCATTTTTTTTTCTTCAAAGGGGGGGACCTGTCCAAATTTTATTTTTTGCAAAAAATTTTACATCTTTTTCAAAGCACTATAACTTTTTACCTGTTCTAGATATCATGCTCTAATTAGAACCAAATGAAAGCTTGAAAGTTGCTCTACATTTCTGATATTGTTAAAATTGGCTGGGATGAAGATTTCGGGATTTTTTTGGCAAAAAACAAAACGTTAAAAATTTGACCCATTTTTTTTTTCTTCAAAGGGGGGGACCTGTCCAAATTTTATTTTTTGCAAAAAATTTTACATCTTTTTCAAAGCACTATAACTTTTTACCTGTTCTAGATATCATGCTCTAATTAGAACCAAATGAAAGCTTGAAAGTTGCTCTACATTTCTGATATTGTTAAAATTGGCTGGGATGAAGATTTCGGGATTTTTTTGGCAAAAAACAAAACGTTAAAAATTTGACCCATTTTTTTTTTCTTCAAAGGGGGGGACCTGTCCAAATTTTATTTTTTGCAAAAAATTTTACATCTTTTTCAAAGCACTATAACTTTTTACCTGTTCTAGATATCATGCTCTAATTAGAACCAAATGAAAGCTTGAAAGTTGCTCTACATTTCTGATATTGTTAAAATTGGCTGGGATGAAGATTTCGGGATTTTTTTGGCAAAAAACAAAACGTTAAAAATTTGACCCATTTTTTTTTTCTTCAAAGGGGGGGACCTGTCCAAATTTTATTTTTTGCAAAAAATTTTACATCTTTTTCAAAGCACTATAACTTTTTACCTGTTCTAGATATCATGCTCTAATTAGAACCAAATGAAAGCTTGAAAGTTGCTCTACATTTCTGATATTGTTAAAATTGGCTGGGATGAAGATTTCGGGATTTTTTTGGCAAAAAACAAAACGTTAAAAATTTGACCCATTTTTTTTTTCTTCAAAGGGGGGGACCTGTCCAAATTTTATTTTTTGCAAAAAATTTTACATCTTTTTCAAAGCACTATAACTTTTCACCTGTGCTAGATATCATGCTCTAATTAGAACCAAATGAAAGCTTGGAAGTTGCTCTACATTTCTGATATTGTTAAAATTGGCTGGGATGAAGATTTCGGGATTTTTTTGGCAAAAAACAAAACTTAAAAAATTTTAGCCAATTGTTTTTTGCAAAAATTTTTATATCTTTTTCAAAGCACTATAACTTTTCACCTGTGCTAGATATCATGCTCTAATTAGAACCAAATGAAAGCTTGGAAGTTGCTCTACATTTCTGATATTGTTAGAATTGGCTGGGATGAAGATTTCGGGATTTTTTTGGCAAAAAACAAAACTTAAAAAATTTTAGCCAATTTTTTTTGCAAAAATTTTTAGATCTTTTTCAAAGCACTATAACTTTTCACCTGTGCTAGATATCATGCTCTAATTAGAACCAAATGAAAGCTTGGAAGTTGCTCTACATTTCTGATATTGTTAGAATTGGCTGGGATGAAGATTTCGGGATTTTTTTGGCAAAAAACAAAACTTAAAAAATTTTAGCCAATTTTTTTTGCAAAAATTTTTAGATCTTTTTCAAAGCACTATAACTTTTACCTGTGCTAGATATCATGCTCTAATTAGAACCAAATGAAAGCTTGGAAGTTGCTCTACATTTCTGATATTGTTAGAATTGGCTGGGATGAAGATTTCGGGATTTTTTTGGCAAAAAACAAAACTTAAAAAATTTTAGCCAATTTTTTTTGCAAAAATTTTTAGATCTTTTTCAAAGCACTATAACTTTTCACCTGTGCTAGATATCATGCTCTAATTAGAACCAAATGAAAGCTTGGAAGTTGCTCTACATTTCTGATATTGTTAAAATTGGCTGGGATGAAGATTTCGGGATTTTTTTGGCAAAAAAACAAATCTTAAAAAATTTAGCGAATTTCTTTTTCTTCAAAGGGGGGGACCTTTCCAAATTTGGTTTTTGCAAAAATTTTTATATCTTTTTAAAGCACTATAACTTTTTACCTGTGCTAGATATCATGCTCTAATTAGAACCAAATGAAAGCTTGGAAGTTGCTCTACATTTCTGATATTGTTAGAATTGGCTGGGATGAAGATTTCGGGATTTTTTTGGCAAAAAACAAAACTTAAAAAATTTTAGCCAATTTTTTTTGCAAAAATTTTTAGATCTTTTTCAAAGCACTATAACTTTTCACCTGTGCTAGATATCATGCTCTAATTAGAACCAAATGAAAGCTTGGAAGTTGCCCTAAATTTCTGATATTGTTAGAATGGGCTGGGATGAAGATTTCGGGATTTTTTTGGCAAAAAAACAAAACTTAAAAAATTTTAGCCAATTTTTTTTGCAAAAATTTTTAGATCTTTTTCAAAGCACTATAACTTTTCACCTGTGCTAGATATCATGCTCTAATTAGAACCAAATGAAAGCTTGGAAGTTGCTCTACATTTCTGATATTGTTAAAATTGGCTGGGATGAAGATTTCGGGATTTTTTTGGCAAAAAACAAATCTTAAAAAATTTTAGCGAATTTCTTTTCTTCAAAAGGGGGGGACCTTTCCAAATTTTGGTTTTTTGCAAAAATTTTATATCTTTTTAAAGCACTATAACTTTTTACCTGTTCTAGATATCATGCTCTAATTAGAACCAAATGAAAGCTTGAAAGTTGCTCTACATTTCTGATATTGTTAAAATTGGCTGGGATGAAGATTTCGGGATTTTTTTGGCAAAAAACAAAACGTTAAAAATTTGACCCATTTTTTTTTCTTCAAAGGGGGGGACCTGTCCAAATTTATTTTTTGCAAAAAATTTTACATCTTTTTCAAAGCACTATAACTTTTACCTGTTCTAGATATCATGCTCTAATTAGAACCAAATGAAAGCTTGAAAGTTGCTCTACATTTCTGATATTGTTAAAATTGGCTGGGATGAAGATTTCGGGATTTTTTTGGCAAAAAACAAAACGTTAAAAATTTGACCCATTTTTTTTTTCTTCAAAGGGGGGGACCTGTCCAAATTTTATTTTTTGCAAAAAATTTTACATCTTTTTCAAAGCACTATAACTTTTTACCTGTTCTAGATATCATGCTCTAATTAGAACCAAATGAAAGCTTGAAAGTTGCTCTACATTTCTGATATTGTTAAAATTGGCTGGGATGAAGATTTCGG